CGCGTTAATTAAGCAAGTCCTCGCGCACACGAGTCGGTCGTATCCTAATTCCTGGTAGATCCTAATCACCTAGATGGAACCCTTAAGCTTAACCTGTGCCTAGTCTCCTCTTCCTACTGGAAGCTCTTGAAAGCTTATGACGCCTTCTGTCTACTTCAATTAGTACACAGATACACTTCTTTTAATTAAGAAATTTTAAATTAAGAGTTAACGTTATGCAATAAAAAGTTACTGTAATCAAACTTTTTAATGAGTAAGCCTAACTTGTGCTAAGCTAGGTCTACAAGCTATAGTTAAATAAGTAAAGTCACTTTTAAAACGAACAAAAGTTTTAACAAAGGTTATCCAAGTCAAAACATACGTACATTGTTTATGTTTTCGTTTTATTAATTGAATACGACGTGCATGAAAGTCTTCTTATTCCACAATCAAACTAAACACATGGAAATCAGCTAGTTGCCGATATGTGATCACGTCTACAGTTAATTAAAAACCAAGATTCACGCACGCCCAACGATCAAGCAATGAGCACTCTATTCCTTTACAATAGGGTTGATTTTTGCTTGGCCTAATCTCACCTTGTACAGGCTTGTTGCTTACCATTGTGGCGTATGGTTGGGTATAACCTGTATAATTTACTACCCGAACAGTTTAACTTTACACTGCTGAGTAAATAAAGCAGTAAAAATCATTTACCTTTCTTCCAACTATAGTGTGAAATCTCGCTCCCACTTTATCAGGCATAAAATGTTTTTTTTTCACAAGTCGTTTGATATGCGAACCTGTGACGCGAGCCAACGCTTTGCAAAGCAGATCGTAAAAAACCTATTGAGGCATTAAACGTTTTAAAATTTGTATCGGTAAGATTGTTCGCACATCAAAGACATTCTGTTTGGCCAGTTTCAACTAAACTCTCTTATACCTAAATGTACAAATGTTGGCATTTTTATCTTAGAATTTTTAATGGAAAAAACCAATATAATGGAAATTCCTAACGTAAATGTAAACAGAGTGAAATATAACGAGTACCTTATTCTCAATTAAATTTTCCCGAGACAAATTGAAGGAAAAATAAAGGAAATTAAAATTTCCGTTTTCATTAAAATTCCACGGAACGAAATCATTTTATTAATTCGATGTTTATGGTATTCTTGTAGCCGAGCATATATTAAAATAAACTAATTTGAACTCACGAAGGTGCTATCTAAATACAATTGGTCCGGATTCCGACCGCATATTAATTTAAATATCGCTTGATATAGCATAGCTATAAATATTTATAAATGGATTAGGTACGGTAGTGGCAAGGGCCGCACGTGAGGGCCCTCGATTTGTTCACGTTAATGGAAAACAGTTTATAACGAACCGCGTTTACACCTATCTGCAATGAGATGACGAGACGACAGTCCATTGGGATTTTTGAGTTGGAATGGCGTACATAGTATTGGTATATAAAACGTATTAAATTTGGTAATTACAATATTTTTTCTCAAACGTGCTTGGAAATTCTAGCATCGTTTTGACAAATTTAAATAATTTTCGAATTGGCTTCACATAGATATTAGTGTAGTAAAAAAAACTAGCGCATAAAAATCTATTATTTTTAGATGTTCGTCATTGGATTTAAAGTTCTGAATTGTACTACCTACTTACTTTTCTGCGCATAACATAACATTTTGAATGGTTTGTTTAAAATATGCTTTACTATATCAGATTCCTTTAGTTTTGTGTTGTCTGAATATTTTGCAAAACAAAGCATTTAAATAAAGTACACTATTGCACTCTCTCACTTAGAAAGTAGGGACATCGTAGGACTTTTCTACACGTCAAAATCTCTAAATAAAAATAATAAATCGCTGTTTTGTTCGCAATAGTGTAAATAACGTGAACTCCCGTAAGTGTTTTATTCGGTGGCCGTTAAATACGCAGTTAGAGGCTTGGATGACCTCTCGTGGCCCGCACTTTGGCGATAGAGATGCTTTGGCAAAATTATCTAAACGCTAATACGATCTCTTCATACTTATTATATAAATTCCATTGTAAATGGTGTTTTTTTTTCTTTAAACATTATACGTTTATACGACGGGCTCGTTGGTCTAATGGGAGAAATGTATGGCTAATAATTAACGCATCGCGGGTTCGATACCCACCGAGTCCAACATTTTTCTTATCAATGTATCATTTTTCGTTTAAAAATCTGGACATTGAAAAATAGAAATTGAGCCAAAACCACGGGTGAAGAACCACCGTCTATAGATGAAAAGCCGTGACCATTATACGCGTTTCGTTTTGAGTCTGTATTTCTATATCGGATGTATAATATATCTATTCTATATTTGATTTTCGAATATAAATAACTCGACAGCGCATCTTGTTTAGATGATATGGCTGTTATTTCTCCTTCTATCGAGTAAATCATATGTTATTGTTTCCTCCTTTATCTCAAAAAAAATAAGCATCTTAAGTCAAGATTCTCGAGTGAAGCAAATGTTTTTCGTCTCAAGAAGACGTTAAAAATCAAAAATAAAAAAGAAAACTCCATTCGTTCAACCTTGTGAAAAATGTGGGTACTCGGTCTGTCTGTGCGAAGTGTGGTAGATACATTTGTTCAGCTCGACGCGGTGCCTGCTTGTGGCTTGATTAACGACCAGATAAACTAGGCACTGCTCGAACATTAGGGCTTCTTCTTTTTCCGAACATTGAAAACTATTTGAGGAACTTTATACTTCTGAAACCAGCTTGTCTGTCCGCCTCAATTGTTTAAAAATAAACAAACTGTCTAGCTATGAACGCAAGAGATCCTAGGTTCGAATAATGTAAATAATACAATTTATGTAATTTGCCTGTGTTATAAAACATGCAAATTACATGTCCGAAAAGAATCGTCTTTTGAAAAGCGTCCTACTTTAGAAGCTCTGTAACTAATTCACTTCATAACTACATTTTAATATTCCGTTTATTGAACTCACTCAGGTGGAGTGTAATCGAGTGTAACTTCATTAAAAACAGATACCTCTTTTTGCGGTAACGAAAAGGCTCTCACGAACTAATAGAATTTAATGAACGATACAGTGGGTAAGGCGAAACGCAATTAATCTTATGTGGAGGGCGGGTAGAGCTCGGTATTTTTGGTCGGAGCGTGACAACTGACGAGGGACTAGGTATTCACTAGTTTTACGATAACTGCGAATGATACATAACAGAGACATAAGCAGTGCAATAACACTTAACGAGTTTGATAACGGTTCGTCATTTCGAGAGCCGCGTTGAGACTAGTTTCGTTTTATTCAAATGTCGTTTCACACTTAGCGTATACATTATTTATGCTTAAACGAGCCACAAATATATCGCGTATTAATCCGATGTTGTTGATGTATTTTCTTAAGTAGCACAATGCATTGGCTATTAGCGTCAAATCCATTCGCTTTTCATGAAACCACAATATAGCTTCCCAAACAACACAGATTTAATGCGAATTTTCGCTTCAAAATTGACGCCAGTAGTTTTAGTAAAACATTGTACGCTAAGTAATTTCAACGACGAAGGAATATAATAAGCATCGTCCACTTAGGGCTGCCACTCCTAATACAATATGTTTTAGCGAAAATGTTTATAATCTTAGTAAAAAAAAAACATGTCAGCATGATATAAAAGTCATCTTTCTTGTACGTCCCCATTCCCCCGTAAATATTATATAGTCTACTATAGAATGTTATCGGCTACTTATTTATTTATTTATTTACTAAGGAAACTAAACAGTACAGTCTCTTATGATAACTTAAAACTAATTTTCTTATTGTCTAGGGAAAAAAATTTTTTATAAAAAATCCAAATGCATGCAGGCATGTACTCAGAGACAGTACCATTACAAGTTTCTCTGAGAACATTTGATTTAAAAATTTAAAAAAGCTTTGAGGCGAGAAACATTGTGACAAATGACAAAAACCGTATGTATCCTTTTATACTTAGATATCTTTACGGGTTAGGTACTTTTTTTAAGTTATTATTTATACGTTAATTGCGAGCACGAAAACAAATCAACATCATTCAACGCGTTATTATGCAATGAAGCCATATTGTGGAGGGGGGCACGCTTACCAGTGTTACATCTAGTCGTTGGGACATAGAATAAGTTTTTGGTACGCGTAGATCGAGCGGGGATGTGGAAGTAAATCTATTGCAGTAAATCGGGATAATCTATTTGGGCACAACATATCTTACTTAATGTTGTTAAAAGATGAAGCTCACGGCGTTGACTCAGGGAAAGGAAGTTAAAACGTGCCATCAGATCTTTATAGTGACAATGATGTCCTAATAAGCGATAGCTTAACATACGAAGGAATTTACTTCATTAAACAAGTCTTGGTAACATTAACTTTAATTGTATTGTTGAAATTTCGAGTCTTATTTAATATTCACAATAATCATAGTCAAGTACGATAGCGTATACAAATAAACTTTGTATAAAACGCGGCAACCCTACATCCATTTGTATCAAAGCGTTTCTGCAAATAAGGAAGAGAGCAATATTCAAAGCGAAATATACTAATTTAGAAGGCTCTATTTAGCTGAAGACGAACAATTGTAAGAGTCCATTATTAAGAACACAGCCAACAACGGGTAATTATTAAACAGAACAAAATTCTCTCGTGTTCCGAAAGTGCCCAATTTAAGATTAAAACTCGCTGTCTCAACTGTTAATGGTTGCGCGCCTCGCGAACTTTGCGGAATTATTTTAGGTCACACTTCTGGTTAAGACCGAATGAGGTCTACATGAAAATGATTCAAATAGAAACACGTACAAAAAACTTGTCCTCGCCATTTATGTCCTTTGTAAGTGTGCGGTCAAGTTTTCTGGAGTTTAACTTAGGGAAATTTTTGAAGCATCGTATCACTAGACCGGTCATGTAGCGAATCTTGAAATGATGTTTTAAAAGTCCGGGTGCGGTTTATCCAACGTAAACACAAGTATTTTGATAATAATAGATAATAGTTTGCTATTAAACGATATCTACTTGTTTACCAATGTCAACGACAAAAGACGAAGGACATGGATCCGATTTCGGTCGCTCCACCTCCTCACCGTCTGGTTTGAACTGAAAGTGTAATTTTAAAGAATGCAAAAATATGTGACCTTTGTCCCAGTGACGCGGATGGAGCGTCTCTTGAGTTTTTAGTCTAACAAGTTTTTAAAGTAAATTGCATTTTTAAACCGTCGCGAAGTCAGCCGTGGCACAGATATGAAGCCACAAAGATAAGGGGTGTCTCGTCATCTGAGCTTGGAGCCAAGCCAGGGCACGAACGCTCTTCAACGCATGTACGTTATGCGCCTTCACGGAATAACTTTCTCCAGTAATTATAAACCGGCGTGGATCTAATGACCTACATGTTAGTACGGAGTTAGAAAATAAATCGCAACTAAGCGTCGATAACATATAATTCTTTGCACTAATGTTGAAAATTGATATTTGTATGTCACGTTTCAATTGTTTCCTATTCACTGCTAGAACTAGCGAAGTTTGCGACGGAAATATGCCCAAATATTGTCCTAGATTTTTGTAGTTTTTCAAACGTTTTACGCTCGAGTGAAAAATAAACTCTTCTGAGCGAAGGAAGTGGCCGGGCGACAATGAAACTTTACAAAGGACCTCAGATACGTCAACAAGTATTTATCCCGCAGTTCTGCCTCACGACTCGCCACTCTAGGCCACAACTCACACGTGCACGTTTCAGCATAAATCCAACAGGGACACGCCACGGTCATCGTTCAAAATTGAACCATTTCCCTGTGAAATATGCGGGGCTTCCAGTTATAAATTTCATTCCACCGCTAATGGTCGACTCTTTTTAATGCGTCAAAGTATATGGCATTCGGCTTACTTCAGTGTTTGTAAAAATATTTTAGACGGAATACACGAAAATGTCAAAAAAATGAAAGAAACCAGACGTCTAGAATATCAAGCTTAGAGTTACGATAAAAGTTTTTTTTTAATTCGAAGACAATTTTAGGAGCTATATTTTTGCACCTTCCCTTTTCTGTCAGACATTAAATACCTATAAGCGGAATTATTAACAAAAAAATTAGTACCATTCAGAATTGTGTTGAGATTTGGCAAGTATCCAGCATAGAATAGTTTTATCTCTATTGACGTCATACTTACTCGTAAGTTTAACCTCAATAAAACGGGAGCTAAGAGCCTCGATATAGAAACATAGTTTCCTATCTTAAAACTGAGGGGCCCCACTTACTGAGATTTTATAAAATGATTGTGATATAAATGAGAAATCAGCGCTTCGAGATGAAGACATGAGAATACTCGACCGGGTGGAAAGATGTCCGATACGAGCGGCCTTACTGGAATATCAGCGATTTTCATGAGATATGACTTTAATCTGGGTTATCTAAATACGTAGGAGCGTCTTTATTTAATTTTCCAGGATTGCTGAACAAACAACGATGTATTTTGCACTCTGCAATAAGAGCGTAGGCATAATATAGAAGCTACGCCAAATGACAACCACCACGTTATTTTAATCCGCAGTTATTCTAAAGTATCGTGGTTTTGTTTATGCTATACGAGACACCTGAAAAGCCTTACATTCGAAGAAAATAGAGCCGGGCAAATGAAATGCTGAAAATGCATACAATTTTCACATATCAAAGAACCGTTGAATCATTCAAGTTTAAGGACGTTACAAACAATGGCCCCGCTGCAGAGTGCAACATTGTTCTAAGCTATATTGTCTCGAGCTACAATCCTGTTTCGTGCATGTAACCCGTTACGTTTTCAAGGAGGCTTGTATTAATACGTAAAATACCTAAATTTAACTTCTAACCACGCGAGTGGTTAACCAAGTGATATTATTATGTGGGAAAAACAAAATACTTATGTTTTTTATGAGTAACTTTTTAAGTCGTATAAGTGCTTAACTAGAAAATATAGATTGTATAATTCATTTTTTGAGTAACAAACAAACGAATATGCTTTGCATATGGTCAAATATAGTGAGTGTATTTTATCTATTTATCAGATTAGTCTTGGAAAAACACACAAAGAAATATGAAATGTTTCAATAATGCCTCGTAAAAACTTAGCTTTTATTTTAAATATATTAATACATAAATACATTATGACTATGACAACTAAAGTAGAAGCAGCATTAAAAGTGCATTAGTATGGAAATCTCGTAGAAATAAGAACGTAAATCTTATCTCGTCGTGATTGTTGAGAGAATATCCTGCGAAGAGCGCTCGGGCCTGGCTGAGGTATTCCAGTGGTTTATTTGTGGCTGTTATTAAGCGATAGATACTGGATCCACTCGGCACTATAGTGTGGAATGGAGCAAGGACAGCATGATTATTGTAAAGTTCGAACACTCTATGCAATAGCGTAAAGCGTTCCTTTTTATTAAGAAGCACAAGACGAATTGATACAATTTTCCATGCAGTTTAAATATGCATGGAATTATTTACTTAAAACACGTATGTAACAAAAACAACTTTTTTTTAATCAAATTATCTATTATTTAGTCGCCACAGCTTTTCAGTGTATATATTACATCTTTATGTAGCGGTGATTGCCATTTAATAAGAAAATATACCTAAAGTAGTAGTGAAAAATTTGAAATGCAGAAAATGCTCAATTTAAACGCTGCAGTATTGTAAGAGCACTAAATGAGTTTGGTCACACGAACGATTAAGATAACCGCGGCTAATTAAATTTAAACCGTGCATAAACCGGCTGTTTACTTTTGGGTTTTAACGCAATATCAATTTAGCTTTAGACCGAAACATTTTAATGAATAAAAGAACTTCGCTCGTTTCCAATTTGATTTGGCGTTAAGTTCACTTGTTTAATCAAATGAACGAGAACGCTCAACTGTTCTTTCTTTGTACTGTGCTTATAGAGAGATGTACAGCAGATATATCGATACGTAGGTATATCGCACACGCAACACATGTTATATCGAAATCGCGTGCTCGCACTTACTCAATAAAGGAATTCTAAAGGATTCGTTTATTCCCCTTTCATTGGGCAAAAACGAAAGATCAAATATGTTTGTTATTTTTATCTTTATATATTTATTCTTTTGTGACAATTTGAAAGCTTATAAAAGGGTAGCACATAATTAGCCGTGCATAAAAACTTATTAGGCCCGTAATAATAAATATTTTAGATCACATTACTTGTTATTGATATACAGCATCATCACCTCGCTATCGACTGTCGTCTGGAAACTAAATGTTATATATTTAGAAAGTCTACCGACCGCTGCGAATAATGCAGTCCTTCCGTCAGCTCTATGGAAGCTCCTTAAAAGATGACGGCGTCATGTGGCTCATATCTCGCTATAGGATCGCGGGTTTAAACCGATAAACTGCCCACACGCACTCCGAGGTTATTTATTGGCCAGCCAATCTGCGCTTCGGCTCAGCGGTGAGAAATAATTAACATTTTTAATTAGTACACTGTGCTTGCAGCGATGCTGCATATATTTATCCGATTACCACGAAAAGAGGTCGACGACCGTCTTACGAGTTACAGAAACAATATAATATGTGCGTGTGTTTGTTTCACGTTTGTTTCAATTAATTAGCTTTACATTTATTTATTTATACTTTATTACACAACACACCCAATTACAATGGACCAAAAAATAATATCTATGAACTATGGAGTGTAACGGGCGGCCTTATCGCTATTAAGCGATCTCTTCCAGACAACTCTTTTATTATTTTTATCGAAACAAATAGAATTCCGTACGTGTCTTTAACGAATCAATTGATATTTTCTTCAAAAATATATTATTATTATTACTTTCTAGAGCAAAGTGTTTTTAGAAAGTGGCTCTTGAAAAAAGTTTTGAACGGAGTCCAAATATTAAGTGCAGTCAACGTTCAAATTCCCGTAAGTTGTCTGCAGGGCTGCCAAGTATTCAGAAGCTAGTCTAGCTAATACGGTAACTAGAAAATATGTTTTCTGTAGCAATATTTCAGTACGGTTATTTGGTTCTTAAGCTAAGGCTTTGTAAAGGAATGGAAATGGCTGTAATTAAAATGTCCTTAATTTAATGGTAGAAATATTTTACGGCCCTTTTGGAATACATATTTGTTCATTTAAAAAATATCCCCAAATTATTATTTTTTAAATTGGTAGTATCAACAAAAAAAGCTTAAACCGTAAATTGTAAAGCAGATCTAACCCGATCAAGTCCGCTACATCAATTAGTTAATTTAAGTGAGTACTGCTCATTTTGTGCTATTTGAATAAAATAATGATGTATTTTGTCAACCCTAAATGAACAGAAGAATGCTCTAGAGTGAAACTATTCCCGCCGCAAAGTTAGGTGAATCTTTGGAAGTCATCAGGACGAAGGTAATTATTGAATTCCCCGAGTTTCAAAGGAGGTTTCGTAAATATTCTGTGTGATCAAGATTCAGTAATTAAATGCCATTTTCAAACCATACCCCGTCCATCCAAAATTCTGTGTATATCAAATATATCATATCTTTACCATTGTCGGAGTTTGTTCCCGGAGCTTAATCTGCTTATCATTCACACTCATCACATCGCTTAAAAGGGAAATACAATTTGTACAAACCCCCGAGTCAGCAATCTCTTCCAGCAATTTTTCATTCTCGTCTTATTAAATACGGGATCGACATTAGCAGTTTTCTGACATCATTCCCTCACCTCTCTTATTAGATCTTTGTAGTGTGTTTCCACCAGAATCGTTTGTCGAGCCGGATTCTTTCCACACGCGACATTCATTGCTGGATCGCCAGTGCCGTACAGTAAATCTTGTTACTGAAACCGGCAATGTATATCGAACTTTTCTATTGTTGTGTATAAGATTGGAGTGTGTTTATCTAGTGCGCGCACTTTTCCGAGGCTTGATTGTGTTTGCCCACTACGGTTCTATATAAAAGCTAATTTTCAGCAGTCCGTCCTCGTGTTACTTAATTCCAAGATTGTGCTAATGGAACGGCAAATAGATTTTAGAAATTGAGCGCTTGCTATGATATATTGCGGGTTCGTTTTATAAGTTCGACTATATTTAAAATAGAGAAGAGTAAATGTACATAAACTCATTAAATACAATCAAATAACAGATAGATGCATAATATTAAAAAAATAATAATAATACTTTTAACGACCCGACGATTTTATGTTGCTGTGGCCCTTACGTCAAGTCATGTTTTTTTTCTTGTACATTTTCATACGGATAAAAAAGTTTAAAACACTGATTTAATGATGAATGATGATGAATATTACATATCATAAATGTTCAGCAACTATTTTAAATCCATTACGTCAGTTTATTATCTCGAGCAGTTCGAAGGCTTAAGCGGGAATCGAACCCGTCACATCTGGTAAACTATTACAATACTAGACACTGGCTTAATAACATGGATATTATTAATTAATATAAGTAAATGAAGTAATACTTGTAAACTAAAAATACATTTAAATAAAACACTTCAACGGTTTAAAACGCGATATATTAGTTAAACTTATTTGAAAATGATTTTTAACTTCGGCCCGACGTTTCGTCTCCCCGTGACCACGGCTGCTGCAAAGCATCCGAAACGTCGGGCCGAAGTTAAAAATCATTTTCAAATAAGTTTAACTAATATATCGCGTTTTAAACCGTTGAAGTGTTTTATTTAAATGTGTAACTACCCCGCCCGTAAACTATAGACAGTCAACTAAAAATACGTAAAAATTTAACAAGGAAAAAATCCTCACCGTCCGTATCTAA